CTCTCTGTATATCAGCTTCCTAATGTACAGAAGCAGGATGTCTGTTTCCTTCAGCTTCAGCCTTCTGAACTGGGTGGGAAACATGAAGCAGAGCCCGCCTGGCTATTTAATTATAGCATCAGAGACAGGCCTGGCTATTTAATTATAGCATCTCTTTGCATTTTCATATTTGACATTTGCCGCTTTGACTATTCCCAGAGACCCGAAGGTCCACGAGCTGCAATGATCTGTTGCTTTGCAGAGGCATGCTGCAAGCCTCGGGAGGACAGAAGAACCACTCAGTCACTTGTTCAGTAAGGCAACTAGCGACCTGTCAGGACTGATGTCTCAGTTGTCTTATCGTAAGCAATAAACAAACCCACAACCCTCATGAAGTACTGTAGCGCTAGTCGCAAAGATACACAGGTGGAGATTCATTTGGATCAACAGCATCCCTCTCAAATGTGAATAATTTGTTGAAATATGAGTGTAAACTAATCATGTACCCACATCATCCCTACCACCATCACATCGCTGTATTGAACCTCTCTCAATGATACCCCTTCTCTCCAGTGTTTTGATTGTACCTCTTGTATGCCCCTCCACGGAAGGGTAAGATCCTTGAGAGCTGCATGCAGCGTTACTTGTCCAATTATTTGTCTCCCAAGCTCCCTTCCCCCCCAAGGCTTCAAATCTTCACTGGAGCAAACAACCTCATCTTTCCCCCATGGTGTGGCCAGTGGATTTGAACCAGGGACCCTGCAGACCAACACTTACCCAACATCATCACCCAGGACATTGTAATGTACGTAGTATGCAGCAGTTAATTTAATACTGATCATTGAATGAGCTAGCACCTTCTAGGAGAAGGCACTGTGCTCCAGGTACATTTTTTCTTCATATTTTTATTTAGTACTTATCATTATAGGTATTTTTTTTTTATCATTCTAACAAAGATACCTGGGACTCAGAGAGATGAAATGACTTTCGGAAGTTACACAGCCAGGAGAGATGTACTCACATCTGTTTGTCAGGCCCCACCATTCATGCTTTTCCATCCTGCCCTGGACACCTTGGAGAAAGGAAAGCATAAGACCCAGCAAAATGCCCTCATGGGTCCCAACTTTCCAATAGAGCAGAAGCAAGTCCAACCTTAGGCTGGCCAGATTCACAGGCGCATGATGAAGGCAAACTTGATAGTGCTACAAGCTCGGAAGACAAATAAAACTGCTCAAAGATGAGGGAACGAGAAAGCAAACTATTCTAGTATCATGCAGCTTCTACATACCCAGGAGGCCTCTATTCTAATTCCTCAATTGGTATGCAATAACAGGGCTTTCGGGAATGGGTTCCCTTAGGATTATGCAGCTTCAGAAGCTGGGTTCTGGCTAAATTGGGGTTGGAAGCCAGAGCTAGAAGCAGGTTTTCAGGATTCAATTAAACAAGCCCCTTTCCTTTCTGGATCTCACGGTTTCATCAAGGTCTTTTAGAGGGTTCCTTTTCTAAAGCTAGCTCAGCAGCATCGGGAACTGATTAACAATGCAGCATCTCAAGCCCAAACTAGACCTTTTGAACCATGTCCGAATGTTAGCAAGATTCCTCGGTAACTCGTGTGTTCAGAAAGTGTGGGAAGTGCTGCTCTAGAAGATCATTCAAGGTCCTTTCTGGCTCCAGGGTAACCAAAAATATTAGAATGCTTGTTAATTTGGGTCAAGCAGAGAGCTCTCTTTTTATGTCAATTGCCTGATGGCTTTGACGAGGTCTTTGGAAGAACCCTGCTAGTTCATGAACATTCCTATGAAGGGCCGCCATTGACTGAGTACATACTAGGTTGCAGGGTACACTGATAATCACACAAAATTTCAAATCATCTAAGGGTTCCTGGTTGGGGGAGAGAGGGGATAATGGGGAGCTGATATCAAAGTTCAAGAAGAAAAAAAAAGTTTTGAAACTAACTGTGGCAGCAATTGTACAATACTGTTTGACGTGATTGAACATGGAGTGTTATGATATCTGTAAAAGCTCCCAATAAAATAACTTAAAAAAAATAAACAGGTCTGTGCAGTGGATTGACACCCCCTAATTCTTTTTTCAAATCATCAAAACAGTCCTGCAAAATAGAGATTATTATCCTTGATTTATCCACGAGGAAATGTCAAGTTTCTCCAAATAATGTCAACAGCAGAGCTAGAATTTTAACGCAGTGTATTTAGAGCCCAGGGTTTCTCTGTTTCATCATTCGGCCCTTAGTTGCAGAGCGTTTATTTAAAGTATCAAGAGTAGGGCTGCTAGGTCAGGTGAGACCAGTACATTTTGCACTTATTATTCCGTAACAATAAGGAGAACCGGTGGCATAGTGGATTACATATTGGATGGTTAATGACAAGGTCAGCAGTTCAAACCCATCAGCGCTCCACAGGAGAAAGATGCGGCTTTCTGCTCCCGCAGAAATGTACAGCTTTGGAGACCCACCAAGCAGTTCTATACCGGCCTAGAGAGTCACCATGAGGCAGAATTGATGTAGCAGCAGTGAGTTTGGTATGATTTCTATTACAACGATGAAGACTTTAAAAGGTAGATGTACACTGAAGTTTAAAAAACATGACAAAGGAGATGGGAATGGAGACTTGTCCTCAAAGATCTTAGAATCTCAAATTTCTGGAGATTGACATCCATTGAGAAGCCAGTATCACTGAGAAGTGACCATTCATGAAGCTTATTATGAAGCCGAAAACCCAAATGGGTTTGAGAAAAGGGCCATGCTATTCAGAGATTATGGGTGCATAATCAGTTGAAAATGGGGTGAGAAATTTTGGAGCCAAAGCTCCGGTTTCTCAACAGGGACTCTCCCACGTCATGGGTAGATAAAGTCACTGGGTTGAAGGAACCACGAGTCTGTCCAATTCTGAGAGGTGTTGTGATCCTGACAGTATGTAGTCTCTGCCAATGACCTCCAGGGGACCGACTTGGTCATAAACATGTGTGAGGTCTCCCAGAGGTTCCCTTCCTAGGCAGGGCCTTTCCCTAATTTCTATTGATAAACACTCTCTGCAGAGCACATAGAAATGGGTAGTGTTCTCTGGAAAGTATAGGGTCTTACTTATGCTAACAAGTTATTATCCTTAGTGGCAGGATGACTAAACAAGAGTCCCAGTCAACTGATTTGTCAATGGCTGGTTCACCTTCAGGAGACAGTGCCCTCAGCTCTGTTTAAGGCTAGTGCAAGGATGACCTACACGGAGCTCCTACATCTATGGTTCAGAACAACAGAAACAAAAACACCTCTGAGCTGGGAGACTCTGAAACATTCTGCCGCCAGCAAGAACCTTACTGTTCGTCCCACTTTGTAGATGAGAGGGTTTATTCTCTGAACACTAAGTGGCTTGCCCAAGGTCACATTATTGGGAAAAGGCTGAGTGAGGACAAAGGCAGAGGCTTCTGGGTCGCTTACCTCGGCAGCCAGTAAAACTCAGCCTTCTTTGGGTTTTGCCTCTCAGTTGGACATGGCAAGAAACGTTTCTCTAATACTTGGCTCTGTGGCTCCCCCTTCTCCCTGAGTTCCCTCCCTCACCCTCCTAGCAGTAGCACATTTTCATTTCCCACTGAAAGGTGTCATCAGCGGGTTCTCAGAACAGGTTCTCATCAGCAGGTTCCTACAGTAGGAAGTCTGTCTAATTATAATAGATGTTGCATATATACACAAAACCAACTTGCTGCCACTGAGCCTAATCCAACTCATGGTTGCCACGTGTGTTACAAACTGCCCCCATAGGGTTGTCTTGCCCATGATTTTTACAGAAGCCGTTTGCCAGGCCTTTCTTTGGCAGTGCTGCTGGGTTCTAACTGCCAACCTTTAGGTTAGTAATAAAGAACAAACTATGTGTACCACTCAAGGTACCTTTCCTATATTATACACCCCCTTTTATTTTTTCCCGACTTCTCCTGTAACTTCTTTTGGCATGTGAACACGAGGAAGGAATTCAGGGGCAAGGTTCCTCTCTCCCATTACTTGGCCACCACGGTAGAATCTCCCCTGTAGCTCCACTCACAAGCTGTATGCATGGAAGCAAGTCACTCTGCTTGCTTCTCCAAAGCTATCCATCTTGGAAAAGGGCAAAGAACCCAATTAGCAAAGAGATCCCATGGGGAGAGGCCCCAGAGTGATAGAGGCAGTGGGAGTGTGCTATCCACTTTCTGGAGGACTACATTAGGCAGTCACCTGAGAAGCGGTATTTCAGGAGAGCCCTGGAGGGTGGAAAGAAATAAATGACCACCTGGAGGATGCCTGCTATCCCACAATCCCTAAGGGGATGCTCCTTCACTTCCCTGCTTCGCCAGGTCTTGGAACTTAAACTATGACGAAACGCAGGTGGCCACTGCCCACGTTGCCATTTTTCTATGCTTCCTCCAGGTCCCAAGTCCTACTGATTCTTAAGGCTAAGGCTCAGGCCATAAAGCAGCCTGTGGACACTTAAGAGACTGCTAAATGTCAGTCAATTTTGCAATTTCCAAATTGAAGGGAAGGTAACGGAAACTGGCAATGGGGTCCCAGAGTGGGAAAGCCTTGATTTCCTGAGGATGTCCTGGTTGGACCATCACTGTACACGGAGGGTAAGGTTGGCCTTCAACGCTCATATAAGCCTTTGGCATGAGGAGAGAAGGACGGCGAACCCCAAGCAATCCCCCCTTTTGTGCTTAGTCAAAGCATTCTCCAAAATCTGATACCATACACCTTCCATCAGCCCTCATCTGTCTCCCTGGCCCTCATTTGGGGGTTCAGTGAACAAAATGTTTTGTGTCCTTAGATGTTTCTACAGAAGCCATTTGAAGTGAGGAAACGGAAGGAAAGTTTGGGAGCGTAACCTGGCCAGCTGTGTCTGCTGATCCTGAATACCTGTGATGGAACCGAAGTGAGGCATTAAGACAAACACAAGGAAGGATGTTAACGTGTTGTGGAGGAGGATAGAGGAGATGGTGAGGGACGGGGAGGAGGGCAAGTCGAATAAGGAGAGGGTACTTACACAGTTTCATCATTCTTGAATTCCAGTTCCCCATAGATGTCTTCAAAGTCCTCACCACCACCCTTGGCTGTCCCTTCCAGTGTCCTAAAAGGGACGATGACTGTGCCTCGGGCACCTGATGTCCGCAGAACCTTGACCTCCAGGACACCGATACTCTCACTGACACGGATCGTATCACATTCGAAAGTGAAGATGCCCGCGTGGTCATCATCCAAGATGGTGACCGTGGCCACACAAGGGGATGCGAGGACTGCCCGGGGCAAAGGCAGACTGTTGAGGAGAGCTGGCGGCTCCCCCTCCTCCGGCTGGTCTGCCTCCAAGCGGACACTGCTCAACCTCACAAAGAAGTGTTCATCCTCCTCAAAGATGTCGTCGTCAATGATACCCACAGAGAATTCCTTCTGGGTCTCTCCTGGCTTCAGAACCACGGTGCCTTCTGTGAACTCGTAGTCAGCCCCGGCGTTGGCAGAGCCGTCCTCGGTTTTGTAGTCTACGTACATGGTCTTGGATGTGTCCCCGCCTTTCCTCACCACGGTCAGGAGGACGGCTCCACAGTTCTCCAGGCACTGGTAAGAACATGGGTCAAAAAAGACCTTGGAGACAAAGTCGTCGGACTCATCAGTACCCACCTCGCTCATGCCGGAGGTCTTCTTAGCTTGCTCCGCGGCATGTTTCTTTAAGATATTACCTGCACCGGTCATCATACGAGTGGCTTGGATCCGGTAGAAGGCTCGACTCTTCTGTTGGTGGGAAAGAGCGTAGTAATTGGCCATCTCCACCAGCTGATCTAAGTCCTTCTCTGGATGTTTTTGCTTCAGATCCTTGAGGATCCGAATCATCTCCTTGCGGGACTCATCAACTTCCTTCCCTTCCAGGGGCACCAGGTTTTCATCTAGAAAGTGGGAATTCATCATTTTTCCATCCATCTCAATTCCCTTTGGGGGTTCCCCCTCTGTCTCTATGATAATTCCATGGTGTTTGTCTGTGCGGTACTTTTTATGCATGTATTTGTAGAAGAGTAGTCGCCTGTCTGCTATCCACGCCAGGACGACACATACTGGAAAGAAAAAGAGAGTTAAGAGGCCTTCCCAAACCTGGACCACACCAGGAGAGAAGACAGCCAGGATCATATAGAGCCAGATGTAGGCAAAGATGCTCCAGGCAGCCGTGACAAAGAAGACTCGCAGGTGTTTGATTTTTCGAGTCTCTCCATCCGGGATCACGTAGACACAGATGCCAATGATGATGAACATGTTGAAGGCTGCACTGCCGACGATGGTGGACGGTCCCAGATCTCCAGCAATGAACCCATGGCCACACACCTCAATTAGAGAGAGGAGGATCTCGGGAGCAGAGGAGCCCAGTGCCATAAGGGTCAGGTTGGAGACTGTTTCGTTCCAAACCCGAATTGTGGTCTTGGTGGTCTCTCCATTGGGCTTTTTGATGGTCACTTCCCTCTCTTGAGAAGTAATGACTTCAATGGACGCCATGAAGCGATCGGCGATAATAGACACCCCAAGAAACATATATATCAGCGCCACAAAATAGACAATGACCCTGGCAATCTTGTCCCCCAGGGAAGGGTTCTCTGGGTACCAGATTGGTAAGATGACACCTTCCTTACAGTCCGATGACCCTGAACAGGACTCATTGTTCTGCCCGGTGCCGGGCACATCCTCCGAGCCGCCAGCCTCTGCCCGAAGACCATTCAGGAAAAGCACAAAAGTAACCAGCCCGAAATGGAGGAAGGCAGAGGTAAGAGGCTGCAACCGTAAGCACGCCATACACAAGACTTAGCCGCAGGCTTCCACCGCAGCGCCAGTGGTCCTCCTGACAGGCCCGAAACCTAGAAAAGACCAGAAAAGCAGTAAGAGGCATGAGGCAGGGGGACAGCACATGACAGGTTCCCACCAACATAAACTTATGCGTCACCCCGAGCGACATATTGCACTAGCATATGGGGCAGGCTCTCACTCGGAAAAATAGATGTCAATGAGAGGCACAAATAGCTTCTCTGCCCTCAGGACCATCTGCTGAAGACGGAGCTGCAGAGTGACTTAACATAGCTGGGAATATTGGAAACATAAGCAATTACCGTCTAGTCCTGTCTCTCGGCTCCATTCTTAACTGAGCGTTCTCAAGAATGAACTTGAAATTGGCGGAGTATGACCTGAGATTTTGTCTCCACTGACAGAGTATCTGGTCTTCAGCCTTCCTTGCACCTCTATCAGCATTCTAAAGAGTTTTGCATAACATAGGTGTCTAAGAATGCATATTTAAATGAACTGTACCACAGGCTAGTCTGTGCGCAATTGCACTTAATGGAAAAAACTCTTTCCCCAAACTTGACATTTCTGGGGGCAAGCTGTAATTCAAAATGCAAGTGATTTCACTGCACCTACACTGAAGCCCACTTAGCTGTGCCCAACACATACATAGCGGTCCTCGACTGTCCCACAGAACATCTTTATAAAACAATTAAAAAAGCCAGTTGTTGAAAGATAATCAATCAGCCACTCAAATTCCAAATCCCACTAATGAAAGGAACCAGAACAGAAATAATTACTAATAAATCACACAAGTGGCCCTACAAATTTTATTTTTTAACTGTAGACAATATTTGTAGGGTAAAATGCACCTTCATCTACTGGTCTCAACCCATAAAAATGTGTAAATGAGTTCTAGAGAATACGAAGCCACTGAAATTATAGGCTCATCTTCAGACCATTAGAAGAAGGCAGATGGAGAGGTAAAACTAAAGAGATGCAATCTACTTATTTTCCTTCATGTTTAGTAAAGGAGGCATGCTGGTTTATGTGTGTTCAGAACCTGAAAGGATTCAGTCTTTGTCCTGCGTATCTGTTCCTCCTCCACTATTTCCATCTCAGAAACTGCCGCCTCCATCCAACAAGTTACTCACGCTAGAAAACAGGTATGAATCTGCAAGCTTCCCTTCCCTTGCTATCCTTATCCCATCCAGCACTAAATCCTATGAATCTATTCAGTAGCCTTCAGGAGAATCCATTGCAGTAGGCTTCTAACTGAACTCACCACTCCAACTCCGGCCACCCACTTCCCGCATACAGGCACCAAAAGAAAATCACAAACACACTGCCATTGAGTCAGTATCAACTCTGATCCAGCCCATGTTTTAGAGCAGAGACGCTCCATAAGCTGTCTGGGCTGGAATCTTCATAGATGCTGATCATCAGGCCTTTTCTTAAATGGCACCTCTGGGTTGGTTTGAACCACCAACCATAAGGTTGGTAGTCTAGCAAAAAACAATTAGAAACAGCAATACCATATCACATTCCTATTTGAAGCCAGTCGGCAGTTTCCCCTTCCTCACAAACACCACATTTGGGGGCATGACCTACAAAACCTTCCATAGGCTACCGGCTTCATGTTTGCCACACTGGCTCTTGCAACGTTCTAGTGACACTGGCCTTCATCTCAGCTCCTGCTTTAGACCAAGTCATATTCTTCCCCTCCATCAGTGCGTATGCCATTGTCTCTTTGAGGGGGGGTGTGTTGCTTCTCTGAACCCCATTCTTATGAAAATTTTAGTTCTCAACTGAACTATCACTGATGGAGAAAAACCTTCCCTCACCCCTAAAAATGGGTCAAATTCCTGTGCTATGTCTTTTCATTACAACTTTTATTTTCCTTCATCGCATTTGGAAATGACATGTTTACTTAGGGGATGGCATGATTGACATCTAATGATGAATGGTGTAAAAGCAAAGACTGTGCTTATTCTGTTTACTGCAGGATCCCAAGTGGTTCATGGTAGGTGCTTGGTAATTGTTATGTTTTTGAATGAGTCAATGTAGACACCCAGGAACTCCCTCAGACACTAGACCTCTTGAAGCCATTTTATTATCTGAATTATAGTCATTTATGTCAGAAAAATAAACACTTCTCATAGACAAATACTGACTTGATTTTAGGGGCTATGTTAAAAAAAACCCAAGAACCCTCCTTGCCACCGAACTGCTTCCGACCTCTGGCGACGTTCTGTGTTACAAGGTCGAACTGTGTCCATGGGGTTTCCATGCTGCAATTTTTATGAAAGCAGGTTGCCGGGTCTTTCTTCCATGGCACCCCTGGAGGAAGTTGACCAACCAACCTTAAGGCTAGTGTGTTAAGCTGGGTTCTCTAGAGAGGCACAATCAGTGATGCTTATTTGTGTGTGTATATAGAAAGGGATTTTTATCAAGAAAAGGCTCACATAGTTGTAGAAGAGGGTAAATTCAATCCGGTTCAAGTCAATGGGTCAGATGATAAACTGGAGGCTTCTCCTGATTCATTTACTTGTTGGGGCTGTTGAACCAGGGAGCAGGAAAACCACAGGCTGGTAGATGCAAAATCTCATGAATCCAAGGTCGGCAGTCTGCTGATGGCTCCTGGGATTGGCAGGCAATATGGCAGGAGGTCAAAGAAAAGGATCTAGGATCCAGATCCAGCGAAAGTGAAGCTTGCTTGCAGAATCTGCTTAAAAAGAAGCATGCTACACCCAGGACCGTCTTCCTTCCAGCTGCATAAAGGCTATGACTGTGGTAGTCACCTAATCTGGTGTCAATTGAAGGGTGAAGAGTGTAGGGGTGGAGTCTAGGCTGTCAATCTGGAGATAGCCAATGAGACTTCTGTGGGCATGGCCTTCTCCTGAGAACTCTGGGAAATCTGGGACTTCCTCCTTGGAGGCGGAAGACACCTCTCTCTCTGCTACTCCCTGGGAGGCACTGCAGAAGGCAAGCCACACAGACGCAACCAGACCTTGGAAGCCGGAGAAGCCACAGAGAAACCCCTGCCAGCGCTGAGATGTTTCTAATGACACTGGATCCAAAGACTTTCTACCCACTGGCCTGTGATCTTCTATACTCGGCGTCATTGCATGTGTTTCGTGAGTCTGAAGAGGGCTTTATAGATTGATATTGGAAATATGGGCTAATATTGGACTTATAGACTTGATCTGGACTGGGCTGGGATGTTTTCTTAATGTTCAATTGCTCTTGTATTTAAATCTTTCTTTTTTTAAAAAAAATCATTTTATTGGGGGCTAAATCTCTTTCTTATACACAGATGTGTGTCCATGGATTTGTTTCTCTAGTCTACCCAGACTAACACAATGACCTAATCAAGGAGGTTCCACCCCACCACAGCTGCTGGCTGCTCCGGGAGTTGATTACATGATGTTAGATCCCATGGCGGAGTTTATTGCGCTGTGTCAGATCTCATCGTGGAGAATTACTGTCAAACTACTGAGAATGCTGGTTGAGCCACGTTGATACAAAAGCCAACCACCTCCGTTACGCTTGTTAGGTGCTGTCAAGTCAGTCCCAACTCTTATCGACCTTCTGTGCCACAGAACCCAACACTGCCCCGTCCTGCACCAGCCTCACACTTGCTATGTTTGGGCCCATTGTGGAAGCACTGTGTCAATACATCTCATTGGAGGTCTTCCTCTTTTTTGCTGTCTCTCCACTAAGCATGATATCCTTTACCAGTGACGGGTCTCGTGTCTCAACACCCTGCCTTCTAAGGAGCTGTAATACCTCTGGTGTATATTTATTGTTCTCTGGCAGTCTGTGTTACTTTCAATATTCTTTTTGAGTATCATAATTTAGATGGAGGAGTTCTTTTCCTGATGGTCCTTATTCATTGTCCAGCTGCCACAGGCATATGAGGCAATTACGAATACCAAACACATCAGTTTGACCTCAAAGTATCTTATACCAAACACATCAGTTTGACCTCAAAATATCTTTGGTCTTTAACACTTTGAAGAGGTTGTTGGCAGATTTTTCCAAAGCAATATATCATTTGATTTCTTGACTGCTGCCTCCATGAGCATTTATTGTGGATCCATCCGAGATGGCATCCTTGCAAACATCGATCTTTTCTCCATTCGTCATGGGGTTACCTATGGATCAGTTGTGAGGATTTTTGTTTTCTTCACATTAAGTTGTAATCCCTATTGACAGCTGCAATACTTGATATTCATCAGCATGTGCCGATAAAGGTCAAGTCTTCTAGACTGTCAGCAAGCAAAGTGGTGTCATCTACATATCAAAGTTATTAATGAACTTTCCTCCAATCCTGATGCTATGCTCTTCTGCATATAGTCCAGCTTCTTGGGTTGTTTGTTCAACATAGAGATTGAATAAGTATGACACACTTTTCTTGATTTTAAGCTATTCAATATCTCATTGTTATGTTCAACTTACTGCCTCTTGATCCATGTATACAGGTTCCACAGAAGCACAATAAGGCATTCTGGAATTCCCAATAGTCACAATGTTCTCCATATTTGTTATGATCCACACAGTCATATGCCTTTTCATAGTTAACGAATTAAACAAACATTTTTATGGTATTCTGCTTTCAGCCAAGATCCTTTTTACATCAGCAATGATATATCCCTCATTCCATGCCCTCTTGTGAGTCCAACTTGAATCTCGGAAGCTACCTATCAATGAATGTACTGCTGAAACTATTTTTGGATTCCGTTCAGTAAATTTTTACTTGCATGTGACATTGCTCCATAGTTTCTGCATTCTGTTGGATCATCTTTCCTTGGAAGGGGTACTTATATGGATCTCTTCAAGTCAGTTGGCCAGGTAGCTGTTTTCCAAATTTCTTGGCATAGATGAGTGAGTGCTTGAAGCACTGCACTGGTTTACTGAAATATTTTAATTGGTATCTCCATCAATTCCTGCGGTCTTGCTTTTCTCTAATACTTCAGTGCAGCTTGGACTACTTCCTTTGATACCATCAGTTCCTGACCATATGCTACCTTTTTAGACAGCTGAACGTTGACCAATTCTTTTGGGTACATCA